TTAATAAAATGGGATTAAATACATAAAGGATATTTGTATTATTTAACATATTTAATTATTGCAGCTTTGAGTCATATTGTGAGTTGCGTTTAACTGTTTTTATTAATTTTGAGGAAAACTAAATCTGAGTTTTGTTTTTTTTTGTGAGTGAGTGAGATTAATTAATGCATGTTCACATTTATTCTAGAACTAAAGTAACATCTTACTCCTGATTTCTCTCAACATGGGGACAGGAGAGCTTTCAATCAATAAATGGGAAACAAAGTAACTGGCGTTACTTATTTGAAAAAGTAGCTCAGATATTTTTTTGTAAATTAAAAAGTAATGCGTTACTTTACTAGTTACTTGAAAAAAGTAATCTGATTACGTAACTCGCATTACTTTTAATGCGTTACCCCCAACACTGGTCACTAGATACCACGCACTTACAGAAAAATGTACGTCAGATTGGAAATGGCTTGCGAACACGTAAAAATAACCCATGCGAAACACAAGCGAGCGTCAGATCCACACACAGCTCTGTTGCATTTAACATGTAATTACACAAGCGCTCCCAAAACATGTTAAAGGGACGGTCTGAAGCATCTCAAAATGACTATTCAGAGCGAAACTGCCAATTATCTGACAAGAATGAGAAAGGAGCCTTCGCTGAGCTCGAGTAATTGACAGCCGAGCATTTTAAGAGACGTGACTGAATGTTTTCAATGCTCTTCTATTTGACACAGAATAACAAAAAACACACCTCACTTGAAAACACTTGAAACAAACAAAAAAAAGGTTAACATCTCCATATCCACCTACATATATCAATTTACACCAACAAAATACATTTTTATGGGTTGAAATAGTTAACAATTGCAGGTTACCAATTTATACTTTCTGTATGTAATAAGTTCCTGTTCTGAAATCCATATGTTTATTAAACTGGAAAACCAATCCAAATCACTGTGAAGAGAATAAACCCCAAACACACACTTGCGTCTGAAGCACAAAGCACTGAAGCACAGCAACAAGTGAGTGTGTGTCCAGACGAGAGCAGCCACACCCAGATCACACACACCAGATCAGTGCTGCTTCATTAGGACAGGCTGATGATCTGTAGGAATGAACTAGATGACCTGTGAGCTGTGCTCGTGTAAACAGGCTATCACGACAAATCACCACTTTAAAAGAAAATAAATAAATAAATAAAAACTTTTAAAAAAGAAAACTGGTCTCTAAGCTTATTGCATGCGACTGGCCATAATATATTTGAGAGAGATCACTACAGCATACTCACAGAAGATAATTCCCATTAAAAAACGACTTATATATTTCTTTATGTGACTTGTATTACTTGTATATTATCAACATAAAAACTACTGACAGCCACAAACAATTAGGAGAAATGTGGGTGCCAAAGGCACATGTCACAATATTTCATAACGTCACAGCCAAATCAAAATGTTAACACTGAGACAATGTCAAAAACACTGTCAACATATTATAAGCTGCACCTATTTTTATTTTTTTTAAATTTGCAACAGAATTTACACAAACAAGTTTCAAATCAAATTGACACTAGTATCTATATTATTAACTGGTTATTAACAGATTATTCACTAGACAAAGCCAACAGAGAAGGCAGATGTCACATCAATTATTGAGCAAATCTCTATCACACAGTTGTGTTGAATAACATGGATACTTTGAATTTAATTTCTAATCGTATTTTTTAATAACTGCAGGATTAACGTTTTTGAGAGGCTGGACAGTAACAGGAGGCAAATCAAAAATATAATGGCATCCTGACAAAGGCCTTGTAATGCAAGGTCTTTGCATAATCTAGAGAAACATGCGAGTATGTCAGTGAGGTACGGTTGAGACGCAGTGTATCTATCTTATTTCTGAATAACAGCAGGATGAATGTTTTTAGGGGGCTGGACAGTAACAGGAGGCAAATCAAAAATATAATGGCATCCTGACAAAGGCCTTGTAAACTCTGACAGCACTATAAACCACACTCAAAGACAACGTAGCATTCAATAGTAAATAAAAGTGCCTATATTCACAGCCTACAGCAGGTAGAGAGAGAGAGAGAGAGAGAGAGAGAGAGCAATGCATGTCCTTCATCCCCAGCAAAGCAACTTTCACCAAATGATGTAGCCCCAGGCGAAATATATTAAAAATGCATATCAAAGCAGAAAAAAATGGATGAGATAGGTACAACCTAAATAAATTTGCATATCCAACTATCAAACTGCTGTCCTCAAACATACAAAAAAGGTAGAAACGCCATATAATAAATTGCAAGATCCACATGAAATGAACAAATCTGTCGTTTAATCGGAGCAGTCGTCTGCTTTGTGTTTTGTGCTGAGCTGAACATCAGGCCAGCGTGGCGCTTATGAAGTTGTGCGCTTCTCAGTATGTGGAGCAGCATCAGGCCTGCAATCATTTATTCTCATTAAGAAACACAGCCGCACATGCACACTATGCAAATGTGACGTTTGGACCTCAACACACTCACACACACACACACACACACACACTCACACACACACACACACACACGCACACACACAAAATAGACATATTTTATGATATTGTGCCATGCAAGGTCTTTGCATAATCTAGAGAAACATGCGAGTATGTCAGTGAGGTACGGTTGAGACGCAGTGTATCAACTGTACCCAGACAGGTGTCCTATTGCGTCACATGCTGTTTAGCTGTACAGTGTTATGATAATAGGTTAAAAGTCACATTTACACACATGCTACGCAAATTATACTTAAAAAATGATATTTGTGATATTTCAACTGTCTATTATTAATGGACATATTTTCTAACATGAATGTTAAAAGGATAATATAGCATTTTTTGAAATATACAAGGTGGTAAAGTGGGTACAGTTGATACACCCTTTATATCCCATGTATGCAGTAACAGTTCAATCAGAAAATAAAATGCATGTTCAGAGGCTGTGTGTGTGTTCTGGTATTACCTACGTTACAAGTATAATACCAGTAAACTCTAACCTTATGGGAAAATTTTGTTAGGTCCTATAAAAACCACTACGCTTATATATAATAGCTATAATGTCCCTATAATGTGTGTGTGTGTGTATGTTTGTGTGAGTGTGTGTTAGGCATATAGTCAGTGAGTGGACTTTATTTTTGTTTCTGTTTTTGTTGTTTTCCATGACTATTTACATGGTTATTTTTACTGTTATGTTTACATTTGTACTGTCTGCCATATCTTTTCTAGTGTTAAATATTTTGTTCCTATTTTGTTTAACTGAATCTGAATTAAATAAAGCGAATAAATAAATCTGAATTAAAAAGAAATGCACAACTGTAATTTATTACATTTGCAATAAATGGTTAGCCAGCTTTAGAGCGTTAAGAATGGGTGTCTCAGCTGTACCTTATATGGGTACAGTTCAGACAAAAATGCGCCTTGTGTTTATGAGCTAATTGTGGAAAATATAAACTACTTATGGCTATTATTAGTTTATGATATTTTAGTACATAAGCAAAACAAATATCATGTGAAAAATCATTTCGGCATCTAGTGTTTGTGTAGTGATGAAAAATAAACAGAAAGTGTCTCTACTGTACTCAGTCTAACCCCAGACTAATGCTCAGACATATTTAGATATTTATACACACAGCAAACAAAAAATATAAATAATCCTTCGCCAGCTATTAAAGCTCACAGTGTAGCCTACAATCAGCTGCAAAATCATCCTATCAGACAAACATGTGGAGCGTTAATCGTGTAAGGTCATGGCGATGCAACATGCACAAGATACCAGCAGCTTTTAAATGATAGCCCCAGAGAAAACCGCGTAAAGGGGATCCGAATCCACAGAATGCTCAATGCAATTTCCACTCGCGGTCAGTGTTCAGATGTCCAGTCTAATGATGAACCGAACTGACATTTCTCATTTTGTCAGTATTATCAAAATGAGCTAACCCAATAGCAATCAGCAGAGAAACAGCGTGTCTTACAAACACATATTTTACACTACGTGTGAGTTGTTAAGTATACAGAAATTTGTTTGAATGTTTCCCGGTTTTTAATCAATCAATTCGGTCGATTCACTCTAATGCAGTACAGTTAGAGACGGACCCCAGAAGCCTCGGATCATATATAGCGCTCCTCGACTCACTGCAGGACGCTCGATATGAACTACACGACGCGGAAAACTTTCTTCTCCCCAACATTTCATTTACAACACCGAAATCAACACGTTTAAACACAGCCGCTGTCATTTAAATGCAAAAGCTTTTGAGTCGCTATTGAATTCACTATAATCGGGCCTGTAAACCGGACTCAAACCACAGCAAAAATCAATAAGAGACAATTAAACACATTAACGACAACAACATCATCATCCAAGCAAACTATAGAGAAGCACATTATAAACTTGACTCTGCAATACTTTAAACAAAATAGTGTGCATGCTCGGCATAGCCTATAAAATAGGTTATAACGCCATCACATATCCGTCTCAATTATTAATATGTTTTAAAGCAGTCTTGTGCAACGCGCGATTGCAACATCACAAGATACAGACATAATAAAACACAAAAACACAAAATAGCAGCTCTACATCAACTACCAGCACTAAATGAAAATATATAGGGTATATATTTCCATGCACCGTGTTTGCTCACAAGCCACAAGTTCAGAAAAATCGCATGCAACTTTCAGCCAAGAATTAAGAGCATCATATCTTATATATTATCCGCCATTTGGATCATTCACGTTACTATTTTATGGTATGCCTGCTACATTTAATATCCAGCGCAGACAGAAACAATGAAACCATGCTGTTACTTACATGATCGGCTAAGTTAGTTGAAGATCCCGAGATGTCCTCGTGGTCTGATTTTGAGTTGCCATCCCGGTCATCAATCACTAAATCTATGGGCATTTTCCCTTTCAAACAGCTGATGTACCGATGGCAGAAATTGTCGCAGAGTTCGTGCACCTTTGAGCAGAGAAAAGAAACGCTCTGTCACCAGCCGCTCCAGAAAGAAGCACAGTTAAAGGCCATTATGAGCAAAGGCAGGGAAACAATAGAGAAATTGTAGCAATGCTTATTATTCTCTAGAGACACATGCAACAAGTTAATCGACAGAATAAACGCTATGTATAGACGAACATCACCATTACAAACTAGAAGTTGTTCGTGAAAATATTTATTTATGTGAAATAAATAAGAATTTTTATATGTCAAAAACGTGGAATGACATGGTTTTAATATCAAATTATGTTCGGAGTAATTTTGTCAGAGAACACATATATATATATATATATTTTTTTTTTTATTACACCAAGTAATGCAAAATCTGAATTATTCATAAAAAAAAAATAATAATAATAAATTCCCAAATTGGTGACGGAGAAGTAAATCCATCCAAATTATTTCTGAAATTAAATCAATACAAATCAAAAAAAGATTACCTTTTCTAACTCCAAAAGATGAAACCGTAATACTTGTATGGCTTGTATCATCTGTAAAGAGAAACGGACGTCGTTAGCTGTGTGCCTTCATTTTGCTATTTCATTTTAATATTCGTTGCATTATATTTTGCATTGAACAAAAACATCCTATTCCAATAGAAAAAAAATGTAATTAAAAAATAATAAATAATTCAATAATGTGTTTGAGAAATAAAACTCCAAAAGATGAAACCGTAATACTTGTATGGCTTGTATCATCTGTAAAGAGAAACGGACGTCGTTAGCTGTGTGCCTTCATTTTGCTATTTCATTTTAATATTCGTTGCATTATATTTTGCATTGAACAAAAACATCCTATTCCAATAGAAAAAAATGTAATTAAAAAATAAGAAATAATTCAATAATGTGTTTGAGAAATAAAAAGCTATTATTTTTGATATGTAAAAATTGCATGTGGAATGATTGGCCTGTGTGAAGTGTTTAAGGGGTTGATGGTGATATCAGCCCGATAATGAGAGACTTATTTCACACTATACCCCTGCTCGCTTCAAACAGCCCCGTCACACATCACATCCCCTCCTGTTTACTTTCACTATCTCCAGATCCAATGCAAAAAAAACAAAAAAAGTCTCGAAAAAATGAGTCAGACTCATTTCAGAGAAGTAAAGTGCACGGCTATTCCGAAGACAATCAGTGCTGAAGTGTTATCTTACCAAATTATCCAATTCTGGATTTGAAGAAAATAAAGGTTTTTCGGCGCGGATCTAAAACACAGCAGAATGAGAGTTAATAGCAATCGATGAAGATATGTGCAGCAATTCAGTCGTTAATTACATTTTTAAAAAAGCATTAAAATTGCAATTGTCGCTAATCTGGTAGAAAAACAGTCGCTTAATGTACAACATCCAAGTGCATTCGTGGAAATATAATTAGCGGTCTTAAATGAAAAAGGATCGGCTATTTTTGTCTTTGTTTTAATGCTTTAAATGCGTCTGGTGTGAGATGTGCGGGTCGTGAGCGACCTGTTTGGCGAAGACAGCGATGTCCTCGTTGAAGGAGTCTGAGGAGCACACGTCTCCTCCAGCAACCCCGGGCTCTCGGGGAGTGCATGTGGCCAGCTCACACTTCTCGAAGACCAGAGCCAGCAGAGGAAACAGAGGATGACTGCAGAGACAACAGCGACACGCTAACCTTCAGATCGACTGACGAATAAAACCAGCCCCGAAACAAAGCAGGAATTGCGAATAGCCTACAACAGTTCAGAAATGACTTAGAAATCAAATGCATTTTACACTCGACGAGAATCGGGTTTCGTAACTTTGTTTTGGGCTGCAGTGATTTGGAACTTAAATGGAATTAAAGCAGCAATCTCCCGTTTCTCTTGAAATTATTTTAAGCGTGAGGTTGAAGTTTGCACGCCAATTTGTCAAGCAAATAAATATAAGTAAAAACAAATTGCAATGCTTGTACAAAACACCATACAAAAAAAATAAATAAAATAAAATACTAACACCAACTACTTAAAGTTCCAGGGAAGAAAAATAAACTATCACGGGAAGTAAAGGAGTTCTCGGGTCCGGTATGAGTATGGAACTCACCCGTAAATTTGATCTTTATCCCTCTTTAATACGTCGTTGACAGCTGAGCCCATGCCGGTGGGCATGACATTGGGATGGGGGGCATGTGTGCCGTAGTGCTGGCTGGCGTGGAGAGGCGGTCCGTGGTTCAGATGATGGACCTGCGGCAGCGGCCGAGGCGCGTGAGGATCCCCGTACATACCGACCGCGTCCATGCCGCCGTAATGAGCCAACTCATCGTACTGCAAGAGAAGCAGAGAGTCAGCACAAAGAGCACAAAAACAAAAGGCAAGCGTGAGGGGAAAGAGAAGAAAAAGTCTCGCGCGGAGCTAAAGTTTGCTGCGTATTTGCGCGTAATTACCAAAAACATGGTCAAGTTGCGCTTCCCGAAGCGAGCAAAGCGTCGCGCGGCGAGTATTCCCAGCCAAGTGCGTCAGACTGAAGGAGAGGCCTGTGATAGATAGTGTATAGTGAAGGTGAGTGCTGGAGATTTTAAACCTACCCTTTGCGCCATCAGCCTGCGCTCCAATAAACCTCTGGATCTGTGTCGTAGATTGAATTTCCCAGTCCGCTCACAAACTCATGCGCTGTGAAAGATCCCCTTTTCGAGCAAACTCGGCGAATTCCTCCTATTCTCCAGTACTACGGCTGAGAACGAGCGCAGGCATCAGGAAGAGTTTTGCAATTATTCTTCTTTTCCTCTTTGCCCCCCAGAAAAGAAAAGAAAAAAAGTCGAGCACCAAACTGAAGGTTACAGCCGGCCCATCAACAACCCGCGTGTAACTAAACTGTCGCGTCTCATGGCTTTTTGCCACTCCAGCTGTCAATCAAAGCCAGAGGCTGTCAAGGTAATGAATGAATGATGGCTGGAGATGATGTTCAAGAGAGGATGAATCTTTTTAGCCCCGTTTTCATCCCACAAGTCCCTGTCTCCTTTATGCCTCCGGTCCGCTTTCTTGTTTTATTACTACAGTAAAAACGGAAAAGAGGAGAGTTTGTGGAAAGCGCGGCGGTCTCTGGCGCGGGCTGAGATGAGTGAGTGTCAGTGAGTGCTGGCAGGTCGGCCGCTCGCTCGCTTATAGAACGCAGAGAGTTGAGCCGCGCGCATCGGCGGGAGAATGAAATGACGGAAGCCGGAAGTGGCGCTGAGCGCAGCCAGTCCTGCACGAGCTCCACGCCAAAGCCTGCGCGAGAGGCGAGCGTCCAGTGCGCGAGGGGGGAGCCTCCGCAGATCCCACTCACATGCGCTGAGAACTAAGAGGCGTCGCGGCGCGTCGGGCACGCGTCCAAACCTTAAAACAGCGCTATTAGTAGCTTTATTGGACGAAGGAAAGTCATTCCAGCCCGACTTTGCTTAATGCATAACTGATACAACCGAGTGTCACGTCCCCCCTTTTTTTTTTCTTGTGCACAAGGTTAAAAAAAAAATGCATACTCAGTCGGGGCCCCTTTTAGAATAAAGTGAACTTTTCCACACGCGGGAAGACAAAAAAGCGAGTTTTATATTTGGAAACTGTCTTTAGTCCAATAGCATTTGAAGATTGAAATGTGAGCCGTGCATCGCGCCGCTCAATTATCAAAGAGCCCCGAGATCATCAATCATTAGGAAGGCCTGAAGTTTCAGAGGAGGAGCAATGATATTGATTGTGCTACAGATGGCCCCTAATACCACAAACAGACCCTTAAAATACTACTCCTCATCAATGATCATATAGCCTGCATCGCGGCACATTTGACATCAGCGTCCTATCGATCGCTTTCTACAGAAATGTCTGCATTTAGAGCGCCCTGACTTGTTTTGTTGTCGAAATTAACCATGCACGGGGAAGTGGAGCCGAACTCGTGCGGGATCTCAACAAACAAGCTCAATAAAGTGCTCCGCGGAGGCACGAACCGAGTTCTAATGAAGCAAGCAATTAACACGGATTTCATAAATGCAACAACTGCTCTGTTTATGAGAGAGGGGAGGGAAGAGCACGAGGAGAGAGCAGAAGTGAAGGACTGCAGTGGACACAGAGCGCGCGCTGTCTGACCACTGCTTCATCGCGAGGAAGAAGATGAGGGGCCTCTCTATAGAGACGCGGTAAGTCCATCGCATCCACATAAAACACAAGATTTGATTTCATCTGGAGCAACTACAGCTTTACAAATAATGCGTATTAGAATCTACTAAAGTCATAGGCTACAATAAATTAATACCTCAGGAAAAATGCTCTGTTTCGGTCGATTAAATTAAATGTTTTTATGACGCGGAATTAGAGCAACCTATGATGCGCATTGGTTTACTTTTCAAGGTGTTAATCCACTGCATCACCGGGATGATCCCCGCGGTCTCACTGAAAACAAACTTTACCGACACTGAAAAACACGCTTTCGGTTTCAAAAATGATTGAAACTCCATAACCGCTTCCTCTTTTTTTAAAGATACATAAAATAAAATATGTATTTTTAAAAAAATAACCTAACGAGCGAATAAACTCGTGCGACGATTCTTTAAAAAAAAAAAAAAAGCTCAATTCCGTGGCTCCGGCAGGGACGGCATTAAGAGGCGGTAAAATGTCCTCTGCTGGTGTCAGATTGAGGTCATTTTCGGGTTAAAGCTCTCGATGTCTGCCCAGCTGCGGCTGAGAATCCATTTCAACGCGAACACTTTTAACATAACCTCTCACAATTTTAAACTCATCTCCTTTCGAGATTTTTGTGGGGGAAAAAATAAATAAACATAAAAATATAATCAAAATGTAAACCATGAGTCAGAGTCATATCTATAGTTTTGTGAAATAACTTTATGTAATCAGCTTTATCTCTATCTAAATCTTAATTGTGTTAGTTAAAGGCTTCAGGGCACTGTAAACGTCTGACTATTTGATCCTATTTAAGTCTAATGGTTTTGTTCTAAAATTGTAATTATTGTTTTATAGCCGACCTATAAACAGATTTCTACAGAACAACAGGTCGCCACAGCGAGAGTATACGCGCCCAACGAAAAACACGCTTTGTGCTGTTCGCATATAAACAATTTTTTTTATTAACCATAAACAATGAAAAAAAAAAAAAAAAAAAGTTAATTATGATTTCTAGATTAATCTTCTCTATTTGTAAATGTTCCGTTATTTTAGTTCTGATATGTGTGGAGGTCTCGTTCTGTGGTGAGTATTTATGTTAGAATAATAATTTCTCTGTTTACTGCTTTAGCTCTATTTAAACTCTCTCTGACCTCAGGGAACATGCCATTATTCATAAACACGCAAGGTTATTCCTAACCCTAACCATACAGTAAGTGCATGCAGTTAATTGATATTACTCAGTACTTAAATGTATAATTACACTGTAACAAGGACACCTTAAAATAAAGTGTAACCGAAATAAATAAACAATACATAAATAAAACTCATTGCAGCGCCCGATCAACTCTTGTAAAATATCTACTTTGACATGTATCTTGAAATAGGCCTATATATGTCAAAAGCTTTCAGTGTCCACGAGAAGAATATTTAAAAGAAAGAAAAGCTCGATTATTAATGATCTTGGGATAATAGGCTAATGTGTTATTTGCGTCGCTCGTCTCGTGTGCGTGAAGAGGCTTAAAGCTCGGACAACTTTACATTAAATTCACCCAACACCTTTCATTTACACTCATATCCCGCAACAAGAAGAAAGCCATTATGGCACATATTATAATAATCTTCTCTGATTAGATCCGATTGGCTTTTTTTCTTTCCTTTCCTTTTTATCCTTTCTTTTGTGGGCATTGCTTTATTATTATGATTATGATGATTATTATTATATACAGGCTAATATGCGGCGAGAATTGTAATAATGTGTATTCATGCAAAAAGGCCTACATTTAAAGTATGAATCAGCCAAGAGTTATTTTAATTTTAGAGAAAAAAAAAATATGATTAGGCCAATTTTTTTTTTTTTTTTTTTGAAGAGATGCGGTTAGCGGCTCAAGGGCTTAAAGTCTTGCACGCCGATGAGAGTTTTAGTGACTGCGTGTCAAAACGGTCATGAAACACGCCACGCCCACTTACGTCACTGACAACTCATTAGCGCTGATCATTTGCTTCTAAACTAGAGGACAAAATTATATCGTTAATGGCTTCTTGGTAATTCGTTACTGTGCAAGTATTCCAAATATACCGCGTGTTCATGCACAAAGCTTTCCACAGGTTCACTCATTATGCAGCTCCAGGAATCACGGGCCCCCTCAGGACTGCTGCTTTCCCGCTATTTAAACAAATACCCGACATGTTAGGAAGAATTGTTTTCCATCTCCACTGTTCAAATTAAAGGTGTAAAATCCACATAGCTGCTCGCGATGTGTTCAAATAAATGCCGTTGCCTTCTTTGTTGTTGTTTTGTTTTTCTAACATCTTCCCATTTGACTGTATCTCCCTTGGTTCTGGGAGAGTTTACACGATCAAGCAGGGGAGCCAGGTAATTACCGCACACTGTCAAACACAGGGACCAGTGATTCAAATGCAGAGTGAAGTATCAAAGAGGCCCCAGATCTACAGAGGAGACGCTGGCGAGACGCCTGCCACCGGGACACCGCGAGGATGCGACAGCGCGTACAGCACAGCCCTGCACGGGAACCGCTGCCCTCCAGTCCCACAACAGCCCAACTACTCCCACTGTGCAATGCAACCAGAAAATCGATTTAGAGTCGGGTTAAAATGCCAGTTTTAGAGGAACATTAATTATAATACTGTTTACACTGAAAAGGTAACCATGCAGTTGTTACCTTAAAATGCTATTTCTGCCTTACTGAACAACACATCACTAGTTTTGTTGGTATACATTATTGTATTTAATTATGGTTCATTATCATTTTCAGTGTAGATTTATTAAGATGCTATCGAATCATATAAACGTACGCGTGATGACGTTTTTACGCTCTTATTACAGCTACAGCTGCTGGATTATTCAAATGCGTATCAATAGCACGATTTTTTTTTTTTGTATTTTACATGCTATTTATGCAGAAACCGTCTTTATAATATGCATGTGATTGACATGCATATAATACGCATTTTTTTGTGCGCATATGATACGCACTTTGTTGGCGTGCATATAATACGCATCTACCCCGCACCCCTAAACCTACCAAATGCATATCATATGCACGCCAAAGTCCATTTTTGCATATAAATAGTACGCCAAATAAAAACAGAAAATTCGCACATTCATGAGATCGGGTTATGATGTGACATTCCACCAAAAATAAATGCTTGTAAATTGTATTGCATGCATTTTCCTCAAATGCATAATAGGATAATCGCACTCAGCTGCATCTCAAGGAACTGCAGTTTATTTAGTCCAAATTAAATGATGAGGCAAAAATGCAATGTCCCAGTTGCTGTGCAAAACTGTTGGAATCTAAATCCAGTCTGGAGGGACGTTTGAGTGTTTAACATTATAAACATGCCCCTCTCCTCCAGCTCCGAGGGATACTTTACATGTAAATATTCACACAGCCAAAGAGCAGCCCATGAATTATTGAGCGCTGCAAAGAAGTAAAATGTCTCTGTGTTCGAGCTCAAGAAGGGACAGGAAGAGAGAGAATTATCCAAAAGAAAATGTGATTGGGGAATGATGAAATAAAAGCTACTGGTTATTTCAAATCATGCACACACACACACACACACACACACACACACACACACACACACACACTCACTCACAAGAGGCACATCTATAGGTGTGTGTGTGTACAGGCCTATATATACACAGACAAGAGTCACGCGTCAAAACTTGTCAAAGTTTCCCGGTGAAGTGAGTTGGGCTGAGTTCTGGCTGTTATCGTCTTTGTTGTGTTCTGGCCTGTGGCTGAACACTTGACAGACTGTCAGGAGCTGATGGGATATGAGTGCAGGCACTAGAAAGCCCTTCATTTCTGTGGTTGATTCACCACTCCATTCTTTATTATCAAACAGCTAACAGCCAGAGAAGCACACAACTAATGGGATGCACGGGTGGAGATCTGTGTTAATTGTGTTTGTATACACTCTAATGTGATGCGTGAGGTTCAGACACAATGCTATTCAGCGTTTATGTACGGTGGAATTATGGTCTTACAATAACTGTGCATTGCTAATATGAAGCAGAATTAAAGATTTAGTGTTCAGTCATTCTAAAACCATGTACACATTAAGACGCTCTGTTTACTACACGACCTCACCATTGAAAACGCAGAAATGCACGACTCTAATAAAATATCCCAGCTCAGCACAAGGCTTCCTAATCCCCATATTACTATTAAGTAATTGTGAATTACTGTACTATAATTGTGCGAGTAA